TAAATGCCCAAATACAAATACTTCTTTGTACATATATGGAAAGAGGCCCACACAAGAGACATGTAACAGTGCCCAGGGAGCCAGCTGTGTGTGGTGGTACACACCGGCAGCCCTCTGTCAGGGTGTAGAAGTGAGAGAAGCCTCAGCGCGAGTTCTAGGCCAGCATGGGTCAAATGAGATGACAAAACAAAAAGCCAGGCCTGCCTTATGCTTCCCGATTCAACAGTTCCATAGTGTGTTCACCAGAGGGCAGCAGCGACTAGCACAAAAGAAGCAGGGGTCCGAGGACAGACCAAGCTGGGTTACAAAATACTGTGTCCAATGCCTCCTGCAGTTACAGCTGCCCTGATCCCTTAGAAGGGATTCAGCTGCAGACATAGAGCAGTTGCCTAGGTGTACCAAGTCATGAGTTCAACTTTCAGAACTGAATAAAACCAGGCATGGTGGCATTCACCTTATAGATTGTAATAATCATAGCATCTGAGAGGCAGAAAACCAGAAGATCAAAGCCAGCCTGAACTGGCTTTGTATACATGACCCAGTCTCAAAAACAAACAAATACAAACAACTTGTTGAGCTCTAATAACATAACAGCAAAACAGGCCAACCGCTATACAAATCCAAACCACAATTCCAACTGTGGAGTGAGGGTAGAAACTGGGGAGATGACTCAATCAGTACAACATTTACCATGAACACATTAGGATCTGAACTTGGTACCCAGTACCAAAATCCCAGGGGTCAGGGAGTAGAGATGGGTAGATTCTTAGGGACAGTAGAAAGAAGACTGACTTCTGAAAGTTATCCTCTGACCTACACACACACACACACACACACACACACACACACACACACACACACACACAGAGGTATAGACCAGCAGAAAGCCACTAGAAGTTGACCGCTGGCCTCCACATGCATGTGCACATACCAAGTGCATGCATGTATACCCCCAAGAACACACACACTTTAATGTGGATGTGGCAGCTCACACCTGTAATCTCAGCAGTGGGTAGATTGAGAGGGGACTGCAATGAGTTCCAGCACAGCCTGTGCTACATATTGAGTTTTAGCTAGTCTGAGCAATGGACTGAATGTTATCTCAAAGCAAACACAAATAAACCACCCATAACCTTTACATGACTGACACATGAATAAAGAAACAATTTCTCTATGACAACTTCTGTCACAGATCTAAGTACTTTGCCCTTGAAATTGAAGACTTTCAATAGCTTGGAAGGGTTGGGAGGAGGGGTATCCAGGAACCCAAATATCTGCATCCATCCTTTAAGTCTGGAGCCCAGCATTCAGGAGGCTGAAGCAGGAGGATTCTGAGTTTGAGCCAGCCTAGGCTACACGGCAAGACTGTCTCAAAAATAAACAGTCTGTATGTATTTGCCAGGAATTCTCCAATCACTCTCCAACCCTACACTTCCAAGTAGTCCGTCAATAAGCTACTTTTTTCAAAGCATAACTAACATTTATTGAATCCTTTCTGAAGACCAACTGAAGCATCCACTTAACCAAGGAGATGTTATATCAGAATCAACAAGGGGGGAAAGTGTCAAGTCTGCAGACCTGAATTTGCATGCAAAGTGTTTGCTTTGCACCCCAGGCTCAGGCCTGAGGTTAAAGATGTGGACAAAGCAGAGTGAGGCAGCTCCAGACCAACTGAATATGTCTAGCAGAAGGTCATGATGAAGCCATGTGGACTGGAGGGTGCAGATAAGACCAAGGCCAGAAGACAGTGTGGAGTTTGATACTGCGTTCAGTAACTGACAGTGATGTCGAGGCTGGAAGTAAGATAAGAAATGCAAGAAGGGTCAGTGTGAACTCCCAAATAGACCTAGAAGATGGTTAGCCAGAAGCTGCTCCCCACCACATAAAGGACCCAGGAAGAGAAGAGGTAAATCCACATGGAGCTTGACTGCTGTGTGGGACACTTAAATGGAAATTTCTGGTAGTAAGTTGGAGACACAGGTCTGACACTCAGGAAATGCCCTGGGGCTCTGAGCATCAGGCAGAATGAACACTGCAAGCCAGACCATACCTTTAAGTCTTACACTGTATTCAAGGAAGGTGGACTGTCATAGTTTGAATAGCAAATGACCCTAAAAGTCCAAGTACTGAAAGTTTGGTCTCCAGTCTTTGCTACTCGACGGTGGTGGAACCTCTATGAGATAAGCCCAGTAGAAAGAAGTTAGCTCACTGGGGCTGGATGGCTGAAGTCGATATTTGGACTCTGGCCCCCTCTTCCTTCCAGGTGCTAAGAGCTGAGCTGCTCCCAAGCTTAATGCAAACCAAAGCAACTGTGGACCATGAGGGAGAACACACCCTTCTTAGTCAGGTATTTCAGGCTTTTTATTAGAGAGGAAGCTAACACAACCACAGGGCACGTTGAGTAACAGGATGCTGAGTCTTGCTTGGGCGCTGTGGTCTTGGGTTTCTGACAACATATTAGTGGACATCATCTTCTTTAGAGATTAAAAAGCGTCCAGATTCTGCTAGATCCTTTAGACCCCAACCGCTGAGGCACGGTAGTATCTGTGAGTTCAGGAATCTTTTCTATTTTCACAGTAGCCAAGCTGAGAAAAGACTTGCACCTCCTCTCTCCAGTTCTCCTCGGTCTATAACAAAAAATGTCCCTGATTCAAGAGGTGTTGTGGGGTCAAAGACATCTTGCTTCATGGGAAAACCTTGTTTGTCATTCCCAGCACCAACTGGGACCACATAACCCTTCCACTCTTCATTCCTACCTCCCGTCCACAAGTGCTGGGGTTACAAGTGTGTACCACCATGCCCAGCTTTGACCTTTCCTTTATATCAATATCATGTCTACTCCACACTGGTGTGTCACTGCCGTATGTCCAGCGACTCCAACAGTTTGGGCACCATCACTGGTCAATGATTATTTGTACGATAAATAACTTGAGGGCCTATAGCCAACTAATAGGTCTTTGAGAAGACCAAAGTTTGGAAAACTAAACAAGTGAGGGGCATTGGTTGGGAACATATTGAGAGTGTGTGGTGCATGTAAAATATTTAAAACATGTTTTACAAACTGCCATGCAAAGGGGGAGGAGGATGGAAGGATGGCCAAGCCATTAAGAACACCGTTTGCTCTTGCAGAGGACACAGGTTTGGTTCCCAGAACCAACATGGAGGTTTACAATTATCAATAACTCCAGTTCCAGGAGATGAGACCCTCTTCTGGCCTCTAAGGGCACCGGGAACACATGTGGTACATACACACATACAGGTAAACCACTCTTATCTATGGAAAATAAATCTTTTTTAAAATTCTCATGCAAGGGACTGAAGAGCACTGGCTGCTTTTCCAGAGGACCCAGGTTCAATTCCCAACCCCCTCATGACAGCTCACAACCATCCATAACTCCAGTTCCAGGGGATCTGATGCTCTTTCTGGATTCTGAAGGCACCAGGCATACATGCAGGAAAAATACATGAAATTTAAAAATAAATCAAAATAATGAAAAAAAATTTAAAAATAAAATTCTCATGCAAAACTGGGCTCTAATTGAGAATGTTAGCCTCTCCCAATTCTACTCTCCCTCTGATCACTACACTGTAGGCAAGAATATCTCTACCATGAAGATCTGATTACCCCAGGGCCTGTATGCGTAAACTTTATTTTTCAAAAAACTATTTCTTTCCCATCTTTCAAAATTAGCTCCATAATCATTTCCTCAGAGTAGATCCCTCTTATCTTACCTAGTTCTCTGTGGTATATTAGCCACCCACTAACTCATCTGTCCACTGTTACCTGTGATTATCTTGTTATATGTACCCATGAGTAGTCACTTGACTGTTTATTTTATCTGCAGCAACAAAATACAGAGAAGGCACGGAGATATCTGTTAGGAGGTAAGTAAAGAGGCAGACCTCAAGGTCCTTGCAGAAGGCACTGGACTGCAGCTGTGAGGTGGGCCTGTCATCTCAGAGGCTGAGACAGGCCTACAGCCCAAGTGAAGCCTCAGCAACTGAGACCCTGCTTCAAAGATTACGTTGCTTTTTAAGAAGACTTGTGTGTGTGTGTATGTGTGTGTGCTGGTGCTGGAGGTGTGCTGGAGCTAGGGTTACAGGCGGTTATCAGTGCCAGACCTGAGTGCAAGCAACTGAACGGAGGAAGAGCAGCGCGCACTCTTAACCACTGGGCTATTTCTTCAAACCCAAGATTTCTTTCAAATTAGGTTCATGGGGAGTAGGGGTAGAGTATGTGGCATCAAGCACGTATGTGGTGTGCACACATACATGCAAGTAGAACACCCATACATAACATGACCAAATCTACTTAACATTTTAAAAAATGGGAGTGTTATTCTTATCCACATCCCTCCCCTCATCACGGATGGACCACGGAGTCTCAGAGGAATCCCCAGCTCGGTTTTGAATTTTGAGATAGTGTCTGGCTAAACTGTCCAGGCTGTCCTTACAACTCACGATCCTCCTGGGTAAATGGGATTATAAAAGTGGACCACCAAGCCTGACCAAATGGCAATCACCGAGGCCAAGGATCATGGACGACCGGCGGGTGCAAGGGTAAGTGTCACAGGCGCCGGCGCGGTGGGATCAGGGGCAAAACTCTGGCTTTAAAACTGTACGATATCCTCAAGTCAAAATCGAAAGAGCGTAAGTTTCTCCTTAGGAATACTTTGAGCCCTCGCATCCTCCCGCGCCTTTCCACGGCCGCCAACAGTGCTGAATGCACACTGGCGCGCCAGGCGTGGGCAACCAGATGACGCCCTGGGAAACGCACTCCAGCGGCCCCGCGGCTGCCCGGCGGGAGGGAGGGAGGGGAACTGGACCCAGCGGCCTTCTCAGCCTGGCAGCTTAAGCCGAAGGGGAAACCGGGCGCAAAGCTTTTTGCGGAGCCGCCAGGCTCCACCTCACAAGGCCGCTCACGTGACTGAGCCAACCCGCTCTCGCGGGATTTACGATCTCGAGGCCAACCCCTCCCGCCACCATTGGTCCCCACCTACCTCCTGGCGGCGACTAGTTTCTGGAGGAAAGTGTCCACTATGGTGTCGAGGAGTTTCACCCTGGAGATGGTCGTATCAACTGGCACAGACTCCGGAGATGACCCCTCAGGCCCCTTCTCCACAGCCTCATTACCATGGCTCACCTCAGCCATGTTGAAATTGAACCGCCAAAATGAATTGGCTCTGGAGCCCCTCCCACCAGGCAAAGAGTGATTGGAGGCAGAGGAATGCCCGTCACTGAACCGGATGGGGCGGGGCGGTAGCCAGAGGAGGCGGGTCAGTGGGAGGACACGTAGTATATACACCTCTGATAACTTGGTTTCCAGCATGGAAAAACATTCAGAAGCCGAAGTTTAGGGGTTCAATAAAAATTTTTAATTATATTTCAAAGATTTCATACAGTGCAACAGTGAATATTCGCAGCTCATATCCTCAAGAGTTTTACCAAATGCTTAAGTGCATTTTCTTCCCCACGTCCCTCCAGTTTTCCTGTCTTTTCGAGTTTCTAATTAGGTTATGGACCAACAAGTTAAAATTTCCAGCTGTTTTGCTCTCCAGTTTCGGGAAAACGGGCGCCCACTGGCCCATCCTCAACAAGACCAATCCTAGCCCCTGACTTTGGGGAAGTAGGGAATCAGGAGAGGCGTCCCTATACCTTTACAAGCATTGTCCTTTCAAACAAGAAGGGAAACGGAGGAAAGGGGGAAGGAAGGGACAGGAGAGGGAGAGACTTAACACAGTACAAGGAAATGAAATCAGGAGAAGAAATAACCTAAGGCATGAAAGTCAGGAACCTCTTGTGGTGTCCACACTCTGCCCCAGTAAGGAAGGACCACAGAAAGATGAGAGACACAAATACGGGCGTGATAGGAAAAGCTTGACAAGGGTCCTTGCTTCCATTGTATTGACAGTTCTTAAGGTAGAGGGGCAAAAACTTCAAAATTTTTCTATGGGCTGTACCCTTCAGATGACTATGAACAAAACTGGAGGGCAATCTCAGTAAAGTGCAGGAAGTGAGGCCAGGCAGGATACTGTAAAACCAGAACTCAGGGAGGTGGGGGAGGATCAAGAGTTCAAGGTCATCCCCTGCTACATAGAGAATCAAAACCAGCCTAGGACGTGTCTGAGACCCTGTCTCAAAACGACTAATACACAGAGACAAACCAAAGTAAGGGGTTTGAAGGGCCTCCTAGTCAAGACGGGAGAATGGAGCAGCCGTGAGAAACATGAAGGCTTCAGTTAGCTAGCACCTTCCAAATTGGCACCATGGCATTTCCCAAGGGTTGAAAGCATCACCCAGGCCGTCATCATAAGCAGGAAGTCAAGATGTGACTGCCTTCTTCCCTTCTACGCGCTGTTCCCCTCTGCCTCCAGCACCGGCCCGGTGGGGGCAGGGGAGGGGCTCCTGCAGCAGCATCAACGGTTTTGGCAGTATAAGGCTGGTAATTGCAGTGGGCCTGGCCTTGGGTGCCTTCCTGACTGTTCTTTTTACTGTTGCCAGCACAGGGTACCATGACTGGGATGACACTTCACAACCAAGGAAAGAAAACAAGGACAGTTCATATTCCAGAGTCCCACTGTGAGACACTCGCTGCTATTCATCTGAGGGACATGTATGTGTGTGGCATTGCTGCCTGGGGCTCGGAACCTACCCTGCTGCCTCCTGGGCTTGGCTCAGCTGGCCTGAGGAGATAACAGTGAGGAGCACACACCCTCTCATTAATTTCTAAGCCAGTGGCTTCAGGTCAATGTTCCAAGTCCAGTGTACTCCAGTAAGTCTGACTACTGTGCCCTCCACTGTAGTCTCCTGGGCCAATGGAGGCCAACAGCCCATTCTTGTCTTCAGGTTCCCGGGCCTGAAGGGATAGGGAAGGGATAAAGAATGGGACAGACATCACAGTTTTCCACTTCTGCAAGGAGTGGGTTCCGACAGCGGGCCCGAGGCTGTCAGAGTTACTTGCCCGGTTCACAGATGTTCAACTATACACACAAGTAAAGCCTCGGCATTTCGCCCTCCTGTGACTCCTAGAGAAGATGAACACCCTGCAGAGTGTTTGCTACTCCCGTTTGTCCCCAAAAGGCAGAGCAAAGCAAAGTAGTCCAGTGGAAAACTCGGTCCCAAATTTAAAACAAGCAAGCATAAAAAATAAATCATGGCTACTTGCTTAGAGCCTTGGCTTAAAGACTCAAAAGAAAGAAGCAGGGGACAAGCAAAGTCCATAGCAGTACTTCCCCAGGCCTGAGGGACACACAGAGAGGGGCACCAGTGAGCAGCTGACAGGGTCCTGTGGAGGTTGACCTTCAGGCCATGACTGAGTACAAGGACCTAGTGAGGGGCCCAGATCTGCAGGAGAAATAAAACTACTGGGAACACAGAACCTCTTCAGCAAGAGCAGTCCAGTTACTACTCTTGTCCCAGACAGGTCACCTGGCCGGGAGTAGGATGGGTATGTCGTGGTGGCATTCACAAGGGTTCTCTCTTGGCCCAGAAAAATGTGTGAAACCATAGCCTCTTTGTCCACCACTGGCTACCAGTGTCTTGAGTCCACCAGCTCAGGTCGGAGGCTGAGTTTCTTGAGGCTCTCATAGCCCACCACAATGACGATGGTGGAGGGTGTAGCCGAGATGATTCGGGCTGAGAGGCCCTTCATGAGGCCCCAAGGGCCTTCTTCTGCCATCAGCTGTCTGAAAGTCAGGATGATGGAGCTCTTGCCTTCAACCTGGAAAAATCAGCACAGTGAAGATCCACCAACTGCCTTCCGTAATAACTGCTCTACTTACCCACACTGCTTCAGGCTCAAGTGAGGACCCGAGGACGGACGGACGGGACTCTGCTTCTGGGGACAGCAGTGACTTCCTCCAAATTCCATGACAGACTACCTGAGCTTACTTAACCCTTTCTACCCCAGCTTCCTCAAACAGGAATGGTGATAACAGTCTCTGTGCAACAAGGTTTTTACACGCAAGAAAAAACAATACTTGTAAATGCCAACCATAGAGCCATGGCGGCACACAACTTTAACCCCAGCACCGAGGAGGTGGAGGCAGGCCGATCCCTAAATTTGAGGCCAACCTGGTCTATACAGTGAGTTCCTGGCCAGTCAAAGCTATCTGATGAAACCTTGTCTCAACAGACTACATTAGCCCTGCCTGGCAGGAGAATGCTCACCGAGTATAGGCTCTCACTGCCCTCAGGCAAGCTATCCAGCTCTGAATCTTCTCTCTGTGTCAGGGAGGCTTCATCCAATCCCCAACAAGGCCCTCAAGCAGCTCTACCCATCCGTGGCTGGCTCAGGTCATCTCAACCCCTCTCAGTTTCAGGGCTAGAAGCCTCCACTCTGTTCTGTGTTAGTCACACAGCCAGTAGCCAGGATCTCTTTGCCCCTTTTTCGATAGTCCTACCTCCTTCCCCCTGCTCCCAAATCACAACTATAGAGCCCACGTCAGAGCACTTCTGCCAATGCAAGACACAGACTCCTTATTTATACCCTTCCCTGTCCGGTGCATCCTCACAAGGTGATGCTGGCTTCTTCAGGAACCTCCTCTACACTCTTTTTCTCCTCCAGCATCTCATCTCACTTTGCTTCCACAACCACCTTTAGCCATGGCAAGGGCATTTTCAGCTTGGCCCTAGTCTCCTGCCTAGAACCCACAAAGCACAAGCCTGTTTTTTTCCCCTAGGATTGCCTCCTGAAACACCTGGGCAGGGTGAAGGAAAGAGTGTGGCCAGCCATAGTTCTCATGGTAAAGACACTGGAGGATGCAACTGCATCCCAATCAGATGCCAGCATGCTTATTTTCAAATGTTGGAAGAAGCACTCTCTTCCCTCCTATCCTCACCATATCCCAGTTCCCACCCCCTCCCCTGTCTCCCCCACCAACCCCTAGCCCAGCCCCTTTTCTGCTCCCCAGGGAGGGTGAAGCCTTCCATGGGGAGTCTTCAAAGTCTGTCATATCATTTGGAGCAGGGCCTAGGCCCTTCCTATGTGTCTAGGCTGAGAGAGTATCCCTCTATGTGGGATGGGCTCCCAAAGTCCATTCGTATACTAGGGATAAATACAGATCCACTACCAGAGGCCCCACTGACTGCCCAGTCCTCCTAACTAACACCACATTCAGGGGGTCTGGGTGGGTCCTACGCTGGCTTCCCAGCTGTCAGACTGGAGGCCATGAGCTCTCCCTCCATTTTTCTTTTCTTGATTCTCCACTTTTCATCCTAAATTACCCTGGTTACACATTAAAAGGTTCCCTAAGAATTGATACAGCAGAACCTACCCTTTGCACATCATGTACCATATACAGATTCTACTTCTTGGTGCTAGCTGACTGTCTTCAGAGCTGCCTTTAGACCAGGATTATAATTTCTGGGAAGTACCAAGAACTGTCAGCGTTTTGGATGAGTCTACACAGTACAACCTTTGAAAGCTATTTAAAAACAGTCCCAGGCCAGCAACATGGCTCACTGCTTACCATCAAGCCTGATGACATGAGTTCAATACCCTGGAGCCCACATGGTAGAAAGAGAAACCAACTACTGCAAGTTAACCTCTGACCTATATGCACATTATAGTTTACACACACACACACACACCCCAGAAAATCAAAACAGAAACAAACAAACAAAAAACTCACAAGTTTCTCAGCTGGCATAGTGGCATGTACCTTTAATCTTAGTATTTGGAGGGCAGAGGCAGGAAAATCAAGAGTTCAAGGTTGTCCTCAGCTACACAGGGAGTTTGAAGCCAGCCTTGTGAAAGAACTCTGGGACTTTGTCTCAAAACAACAAAAGACCAAACACAGAGGCAAGGCACCTTCCTATAACCCCCAGCACTCACGGATTCAGGAATTCAAGGTCAGCATCAGCTACAATAGCTTTGAGACCAGATTGGACTACATGACACCCTGTCTCAAAAATAAACACAAACAAACAAAAAGCTGGGGAGCTGTTTGTTGGTACTTGCTTAGAAAGTGCAGCACTTCTGGACATAGAGAAGAGTCAGGAGTTCAAGGCCACCACTGGGTTAGTTATAGTTATTAAATCCCGCCTGGGATACATGAGAACCTGTCTTTAAGCGTGAAAAAAAAAATACATAAAAAAGAAAGGACCAGCAAGATGGTTCAGTGGGTAAGGCTCCTGCTTCCAGACTTGACAACCTGAGTTTGATTCCCAGGGCCCAAAAATGTAAGTAAAGAATTTACCCACTCACACAAGTTTCTTGCTAGCTTCTGCTCCTATCATGTCTATCTAATGTGTACACACAAGCACACACAATAAATATAGTAATTTTGAAAGGAAAAGGACATTTTTGTCTCTCTTCCCATTTTTTTCAAGTCTTGCCTCCTCCTCCTGCCTACTCCAAGATCACAACTTTAGAGACCATCTCTTTGATTTCAGTCTCTCATTCTTTTTGGATTCATGGCCTAGTGGAAAAATCAGAGACTTCTAAAGTGAATATGAAACAACAATTCTAATCACTACAAGTTTGCAAGGTAAGGAAGAAGGGTGCCTTAAGGCATAGGCTAACAGAGTATGGAACAGATTCCAACTGAAGGCTGAAAGAAAGCATTAAGTATTCCCAGAGGCTAGCTACATAATGGGCAGAGATGTACAAGGTGCAGATAGTATAAGAAAAACAATCTAGATCCTTTCGAGAACTCAGTTGGTATCTGTACAGATAAGCACAGGAAGGGAGTTGGATAGTTACAAGGCTGACTAGACATCAGGGCCAGGGCACACTGAAATCACAGGGACATTGGGCGCCTACAGATTGTGCTTCTAATCCCTGAGTCAAGGGTGGGGAGGAGACTGGAGAGCATTACCTGCACACGGGTTCGGATGACATCCATGGGGTTGGTGAGGATGGAGGCAGTGGCTGCAGCCAGGGGCCCAGAGATGGCTTGGAAGACAATGTGAGGGCACTCCTGAGGACACAGGTACGACAGCTTCTCTGGAATCCAGGGAAAGACAATGCCTCAAGATACAAGGTACCATCTGCCTACCCTCACAACGCCTTTACATCTAAGACAATCCCTCAGCCCTCTGCTATCTTGGACCTTTGTATTATACGTTTTGCTTCTCTGCTTCTACCTGCATCCACCAGAAATTCATATTATATCTTTGGATCTTTTCAGAAGTCATTTTGGATATACCTATCATCCATTTCAAAAGGACAAGACTTAGGGATCTAAAAACCTCTGCTTGGCAACTCCCTTCATCTGATTGATAGAAAATCACTTCTGATGTAAAAACTAGCACATACTGCAGGTTTCCCTACGTGGCATTCTAGAAGGAGACACTTAAAAACCATATGATTAGCCAGGCAGTCTGTGGTAGCTCCAGCCTGTAATTGCAGCGCCCAGGAGACTGAGGCAGGATTGCTATGAGTTTGTTACCACATGGGCTGTAGAATAAATCCCAGGCCAGCTTGAGCTTCAATGTGAGGCCCTGTCTCAAATTCCTTAAAAAGTGTGACACTGATACACAGTGGTCTCTATGGAAGGGACTGGGTGACTGTCATGAATAAGAAGGCTGTGCACTATATCTGGCAAACTTTTTCCTTTCAAAGTTCTTTACCTTTAGGGGTTGGGGGAAGGCAAGATATCATGTAGCCCAGACTGGCCTGGAACTTAGTATATATAGGTGAGGACGAGCTCTGACCTCTCATCACCTCCAAGTTCTGGGATTACAGGCATGTGGCGCCACAGCTGGTCTACACAGTACCTGAGATGGCTCCCAGAGCTTCCTGCATGCCAGGCAAGCACTCTACCGATTCAGCCACGTACATAGCCCTTCAAAATTCATTTGGAATTTTTGACAAATATAAACAATTAATATTAAAATAGAAAGTCTTACCCTACAGTGAGGACCAGCTTATTCCAAGAAGAAAAAAAAAAAAAAAAAAAAAAAAAAAAAGCCAGTTGTGATGAAGCATGCCTTTAATCCCAGCATTTGGGAGGCAGAGACTGGCAGGTCCCTGAGTTCAAGGCCAGTTCCAGGACATCCAGGGCTACACAAAGGAACCCTCTCAAAAAACAAAAGCTTCAGTCACGCATGGTGATGCCCTTCAAAAATGAAGGTAAGAGGGCCTGGAGTCTGTCTAAGGTCATCTTCAACTACAGAGTGAGCTCCAGGCCTACTTAGACTACATGACACTGTCTCAAGAAAGTAAGAAGGGGTTCAGTTAGCAGAGTGCTCACCTAGCATGCATGGAGCCTAGAATGCAAACAGCCTAGCTAGCATGCATGGAGCTCTGGGTTTGACACCCAGCACATAAAACCAAGCATGGTGGACACATCTAATCCCAGCACCCTGGAAGTAGCACGGGAGGATCAGAAGTTCAAGGTGACACAGTGACTTCAAGGGCTACAGGATATTCTATTTAAATTTGAAAAAAGAGAAAAAGCCAGACATAGCAGTGCATGCTTGTAATTTTTATAAGGCCCACCATGTCTCAGAACAAGGACAATAACACCAAGGCCTATTTTCTCACAGTGCCACTGGGACGTGTGCCTGCAAATAAATTCTTTGCTTTACTCTCTTTTGAGGTAAGACAAGAGTTCATTTATTTAGTCAACGAAGATTCAGTGAGTTCCATGGGTCTTGAGGGCAGGATGGTGAATAAAAGTGCCTCAAATTCTTGCCCCCGGGAAGTGCACACTCTACTAGGCGAGAAGGGACAATAAACAAATAAAAAGTAAAACACATAGCCACGTAGAAGGCGCACACTATAGCTAAAGTAAAGTGAGAGAGGAAGACAGGAATGCCAAGGGTAGGGGTGAGGTAAGTTGTGATTTTAAACAAAGCAGCCATGGTACTTCCAGAGAAAGTGATGTTCAGAAACCACCTGATGGTGGGAACGTAAGCCACATGTGCCTGGGCAAGGAGATTTCCAAAGATAACATATATCCAAAGAGCCACAGCAGAGGCAGGTGGATCTCAGTGAGCTCAAGGCCAGCCTGGTCTACACAGTGAGTTCTAGGACAGCCAGGTCTATTACACAGAGATTCCCCGTCTCAAAATAAATAAATAAATAAATAAATTAATTAATTAATTAATGTGCCAAGGCAGCGGCATGCCTGAGGGGCTCAGGGGCAGCAAGACCAATGACACCGAGCAGAGCATTTGGGAGGGAGCAGCAAGTGAGGTCTGAATTAAGTAACCAAGGACCCAGAGGGTACTAGAAGAGTTTAGGCTTTTACACTAAAATAGGAGGTCACAGACTCATAATCTCAAAGATTTCCTCTCAGTTTCTCTTCTACGGTCAGTCACCAGTCCTTGAGATTGTTTTTCAGGTGCTTCCTTCTGTGGCGAAGTTTGTGGCGAAGTAGGGAAAGATTAGGAAGACGGGGTTGGCAGGCAGAAGCCACAGCTTCAGTCTTAGTCGACATGGCAGAATTTCGTAAGCCTGGGGCAGAGCCACCTCTTCCCCACTTTGTAACTGTGTTTCTCCCCAAAGTCAAGCATGCCAGCAGAAATGGGGCAATGTGGAGTCTGCCTCACGGGTGCCCTTTTTCTCCCGAAGATGGCTTTTTGCAATCATAAACTGCAGTATTGGGACGCACACTGCCTGCCTCCCGGGCCTGTGTGCACTGGCCCCAGGCTTGCAAGCTGCACAGGACCTAGATTCCAACTCTAATTTTGTACAGGTGCCACTTTCCTAGAGCTCACAGAGCAAATGGAGAGTTAAGAGGGCATTATTCAGTCAACAAATGTTTACTGAGCACCCAAATCTACAGGCAGACTCACCTTAACTATCGTCTAGCTAAGTGACTTTGGACACCAGTAATAAATGAATATTTATTTAGTGGTGGCTAAATGCCTGGCATTATGAGAAACACTAGACCCATGCAGAGGAAGAAGGAGCCACACACACCTTTAATCCCAGCACTTGGGAGACGGAGGCAGGTGGATCTCTTTTTGTTTAAGGCCAACCTGGTCTACATAGCAAGTTCCAGGCCAGGGGGGGTCTACATAGAGACCCAAAAATAAAACAAACAAAACAAGAAATATTTTCCTGGATCTTATGATTCTAATTAAGGAGCTAGAAGTTGGGGGTAAAATAATTGCAAACAAGTGTCAAGAAGGAATAAAGGAGCTAAAACAGGAAGCAGAGACAGCCCTCTTTCCAGCAGGATAAAGACACTCTCGATGGGTGTGGTGGCACACATCTTAATCCCACCACTTGGGAGATAGGCAGGCAAATCTCTGTGAGTTTGAGGCCAGCCTGCACTACATAGTGAGTTCCTGGACAGCCAGGGCTATGAACAACCTGTAGCAAAAAACAACAAAAAAAGTTTTGCTTTGTTTTTTAACAAAGGTGGCATATGATTGAGTCCTGAAGCATGAGAAGCCAGCCACATAAAGAACAGAGGAAAAGGTGCCCCAGGCAGAGAGCTCTGCCACTGAGCTGCACGCCCAGCTTTGTAACCAGAATTTAAGAGACTAATCCATTCGGAACATATATAATGCCTAGCTGAAAACCTGACTCTTGGGTAGCAGAGGTAGGAGAATCACAAATCCAGGGCCTACATGACTACAGAACAAGTTCAAGTCCAACCTAGGAGCTTAGTGAGATGCTGGCTCAAAATCAAAAGTACAAATGGGGGCCAGTATGTGGCTAAGTTGGTAGAGCTTACGTAGCCTAGCTGAAACACGATCGAACTCTAGCACGGCATAAACCAGACATGGTACAAGCCTTTAATCCTAGCACCCAGGAGGTAGAGGAAGGAGGGTTAGAAAGTCAAGGTCAGACAGCCTGGCCCACGTATCTATCAGGCAAGCTAGAGCTATATAGTGAGCCTTATCTCAGAAAGAAAAGAAAATAAGGTCATCTTCAAGTACATAGGGAGTTGGAGGCCAGCGTGGAATACACAGTTAGAGATCCTGTGTCAAAAACAAGTTGGGCATAGTGACACATGCCTGTCATCCCAGCACATGGATGGAAGGCAGAGATAAAAGTTTGAAGTCATTCTTGGCAAGTTTAAGGCCTTATTGGATAATATGAGACCTTGGTTCAAATAAAAAATGGCTAGGTGGTAGGCACATGCCCATAATCCCAGGACCTGGTGGGTAGAGGCAGCAGGATCAGTAGTTTAAGGCCAGTCTGAGGTACAGGAGTCCCAATCCAAAAACAAACCAACACAGGAACTTCAAGAACCAACACAAAATTAGCTAAGTGTGGTAGTGTAAGCCTGTAATTCCAGCGGCATAAGAGACAAAGGCAGAAACTTATTGAAAAATAAAACTTAAGATGGGTATCCCCTCCTCTACCTTAGGACTTTAGAGACTGAAGCAAGGAAACTCCTGAGAATTCAAGGACAGCCTGAGCTACAAGTTAGCATGGGCTGCAGAATACAGTTCAGTGGCCAAGCAGCTATCTATGTGCAAGGGTGCACAAAGCCTAGTGCTCCATCCTCGACTACAGACAGAGCCTTCACAGAGCCCGGCAGTCGGAATGTCGGCTGAGACCTCTGGACAGGTTTGGCTGACAATGGTACAGAATGTGGGCATACAGGGAAACTTCATGAGATCAATTGAGGGCAAAGGCCAAAGGCAGACTTCAGAGAAGACTCGCTCCCGGGAACTTGCCTTAGTTTTATTTAGTCTGGCTTTTCTGAAATGCTAGGGATTAAACCTCGGGGCTCACACATGCTAGCCAAGCTCTCCTCAATTGAGCTACATGCCCAGCTTTCCTAAGTGTCTGCTGAGGTTATCCTAGAACTTACAGAGCAAAAGTATTGCTGTTAGCTCTACAGTGTTGGACTACAGTGAGTTAGAAGCCAGTTTATGTTAAACAGGGAGACCCTGACTCACAAAAACACAAGAACAAAAATTGACTGCTAGAATGTACTCCCAAAGGGTCAGGGTGGCAGTACAGGGTTCGATTTTACTACAAAAAAAGTCTAGAGGAAATACTGTGATAAGTAGAAGAAACAGAGCTAGCAAAACTCGTGTTCAGCAGCATACACCTGTGACCCCAGCACTCAGTGAGGCTAATTTGATCCTCGCTAATTTGATCTCTACTCTTCTCCACTCTAAAAACACATAGAAACAACAGTATCGCTGCACCATTAGTAAGGGCTCCCCTTCCCAGGCCCTGCTTACCTGCATAGAAGTGGTAAAAGGGCCACCATACCGCACTGTTGGGGATATATGTCAGCAGTGAGGCCACGTAGCCTCGGTAGAAGCCTCGAAGCCCATCGGCCCGCAGGATCTGTCTGATGATGTCCTTAGTTTGGCCAAAGGCAATGAGCCCTTGCCCCTCTAGGTTCCCATGAACTTGGAAGCGACCCATTTTCTCCCCCTTGCGCTGCATCATCAGGTGCTGAGAGACAACATCGATGGGCACTGTGATGCTCTGGGCCACTAGGGAGGCAGAGCCGCCAGCCACCAGCGATTTGACTGTGTTACTCTGGCTGTAGTCAGACACAAACTTCCGGGTAAGCTCATAAGTGGTGACATAGCACTGGCCAGAGATGAGTGTGAAGGTGTTGACCAGGAACCCCCGGTAGAGGCCAGTCACTCCATCTGCTCGCAGGATCTTGACAAAGGCATCAAAGGTCCCATGGTAGAGGCTCCTGCCCTTCTGAACCTGCAGCCGAGTGCGGATGAGGGTGAATGGGTACACACTAACCCGGATCATCATTGTCATCGCCACACCAAACACATAGAACTTCTTCTTGTCCAGGTGTTCCCACTCAATGATCTGGATGTTTCGCTTGTCCTCCATTGTGCCTGAAGACCTGGGATTTGGGCAGGCAGGGGGATGTGAGGCAGGTCAGAACTTTTATTTCTTTCCCCTCCTGCCTAGGCTTCAAAGTCACCTTCTCAGGCAGCATCTCTTGGGATACTCGCCTCAGCAAAACCTATCCTTCGCAGCCTGGCTCTGTCCACACACAACCCAGAGCAGCACTTCTCCACTTCTGTCCTTGACCAGCCTTTTCCAACTCAGAGTCCTTCTTCTAGAAACCATTCCTCACCACATGACAAGGCTAGACCGCCTCACCTCAGCCCCTACGCAGCTTGTAAGACTATCCATTCTGAATTCTGTCTCTGCCTAGGTCTTGGCATCAGAGTCTTGAACATGGACCATTCTGCCTTCCTTGCCTGGGTACACTTAGGAACTTAGGATACAACGCTGTGGACAATCCATCCACCTGGATCCAAGGCCTACATGGCTAATGGGATGTCACTAAGTGACACAGAGGAGGTTCCTGGAGACTGGACTGCCCCTGGTTCCTCTGAAGAAGCAACCACCTTTGCCCTTTCACCCTCGGTGTGAGTCACCTTATGTACGTTTGTGTCTGCTGGCCTCACTCCCCCACCATGCTGGCTGCTCTGGCCCCCCCCCCCGCCCCCCCCTCGCTGTAATTTATATTTTCTCTAGTCTACAGTAGAAGAAAGTGTGGGCAGGGATTTCACACTAGGGGGCGTCCCTAACCACTTCCCCACTCTCCAGGAAAAGGAGTCTAAGTCAGGAACAGGCCAAAGGTCAGAGTGCTCTTTGGCCATTAACTAACCCCAGAAAGAGGAAAGAACCACCTGAGCTGGTTTCCCAGAAGAAAGCTTGCAGGACCTGCTTGAATCTGGGCAGTTAACCCTAGATGTACAAATGACAAAACAACAACAAAACGTTTCTGGGAAATGAGCAAGCTGTATAATGGGTCAAATATAACCAGCCCAGAGCCACGTAGCTGCTCAGCGGTGGAGGCAAGATAAAAGCCAAGAGCTTTACTCCACTATGCCTCCCGTGCCGTTTGAGTTGAAGATCTCAACACAACACAATTTCTCTGTTCGACTGAAAACTAATTCCTCCCATGAGAGGCAGTGTAAATGCTCTCCTGGCTGCCAGTTCCCTCAGCTTTATTCCAAAAAACCTAGGACTGCCGCCTCTCTTGCGGAGTGACTGAGCTTATTGGCCAAGCAAGCACGTGGTCATCACAAAGACAAACACAGCTGGGCATGCGCACACTGCGTGCAGCACGGGGCAGAAGGGCAGAGAAATGAAGTGTTCTGCTTCGGGACCTGGTTTCATGGGCACCTTCTAACCCTGTCAAGCTGTCACCCTGTGCAGGCATTTCTGATGAGCAATCCTAAGGCAGAGCCCACTGCTCCATCTCCTCTTTGCCTTCATCTCTCACATGATGCCAATTACTATAAATCTCTGAATGAAGCCAGGGTTCCCCCAAGGCGGGTAATTCCTACCAATGTCATGGCAACAGGAGGAGCCACTGAAGGTCATGACTCAATCAATAAGGCACCATATTAGAAAGCTAGAGGGCGCTATGCCCTTGGAAAAAAGAAGTTTCTCCCTCAAAGTAGGCTAACTGTCACTGCTAGAAAATCCTTGATGCAGAAATCTGAATACAAGCATTCTTCCGCCTTCCTTTTTCCTGATCCAGCCAGTCTGACTTCTTTACGGCCCTTTGTCAGACCCTAATTTGTGTACCTGATCCCAGTTCTGGATTTGCTGACATCTTTAAAACTGTTCTTGGGGCTGGGGATGTGTGTAGCTCAGTTGACAGAATGCCTGCCTAGCATGTACCAGGCCCTAAATTCAATCCCCAGCACGGCATAAAAAAACAGGTGCAGTGGCCCATGCCTGTAGTCCTAGCATTGGAGACAGGCGTAGAAGATCACAAGTCTGTAGTCACCTTTGACTATATAGCAAGTCCAAGGCCAGCCAGGGTTACAAGACACAAGCTTTAAAAACAAAACAGAACATTGTTGGTGAATTGCTAAGTGCTTTTTGCACATCTCAATGGATTACCCAGATCAGGGAGCATGCTATACGTGAAGTTAGCAATGAAATGGGAGACAAACTAGTACAAGCACGCACGCCTCCTGTCACTTCCACCCCCTCACACAAACAGAATCCACAACTAAACTAGTCGCTCGGTTTTGCTGTTTGTTTTGTATGGCTCTCATGGGGCCCATGCTGGCCTTGGACCCTCTTGTCTTCATTCACCATTTCCTAAATGCTGGGATTACAGATGTGACCCACCATACCCTTGTCCAGTTTATCAAGCACGGGGACCAAGCCTAGGTCTTCCTACAAACATTCTACCAACTGAGCGAGATCCTCAGCCGCTGGAGCTACTGACTGTTAACAGTGATTCCTTAAGTCCTCCATACCCACAGTGATCCACAGATTAGCAGCATGGGCATTACCCGGAGTTGCCTACACAAGAGCACAGCCAGGTGTAGTAGCACGTGTTTGTCACTCCAGCACGAGGGAGCTGAGGTGAGAAACAGGAGTTCAAAGTCAGCCTGGGCTACACAGACGGGGGAAGGGGACTTCAGGCCATACCTTACACCTACTGATTAAGAAAAAACACTGACATCTCTAGGTGGCTTACATTAATTGTCAAAGTGTGGGGAGCATTTGCTTTAGTTACTAGAGACTGACAGCTTTATAAGAATTACAACTGTTCTTGGAGTCCAAGATCCTTGGGACTAGGTTAGGAGCCCTCCGACTCCATGTGGGACTTTGGCACAATAATGACCAATCGGTCCATTCCAATCTTTTCTGTTGACAACTCCCACCACATCAGGTTGCCTTGTGCTGGTCAGCTCGTGACCAGACCCAGGGGCTGCAATTCGCAGACAGAAACAAATACTAACAGGCACCCTCTCTTCTTCTTGCCCTCTGTGCGGCATCAGGCTCTGCATCTTGGGAGCTGTCACCCACTTGAACGTGAACATATTATTCTGGAACACCTGTGCCGCTGACTATTCACTGCCTTTCCCTAGGTCCTAACGAAATCTCCTCCCACTTCAAGACAGCCTCCTCCCTCTGGCATGGTGAGGTTCCCACCCGGTCTTCCTTGGTCTTCAATACAGGTTTCCACGTGAACCCTCATCACAGACACATGACAATCCCCTCCACATACTCCACGTGACACCCTCCTTTATGCACCTTCGGTCCGGCTCTTGCTCCGCCAATTCAGGGTCCTTGGGTATGCCCCTCGCCATGCTCCTCTAGTCGTCAGCCTCTCATGCTCCTATGCCAGGAAGAGATGCCTCGCCAGACTTGCCTTTCGTAGCCAAATTTGCAAGGAGACTTCCCATGGCGATGTAGCCCCGCAGAGCAGACATCCGCTGATCCTCGACAAGTCGGTCCTTAGGTACCTCCGATCCCTCAAGGCACCCAAGCACCGCAGTTTCTTACCTTCTCAGACCCCGGCGGTTCGGCTGCGTCTGAGAACTCCGGCCCTGAACTCCTAGACCGCAGTCCCCGCACTACCTTCCATTCCCAGGGACAGCCAGACTCGGTTCGCATCTTCCTCCATCTCGACTGGGAGCCTGGAACTGCCGGAACCGGAAGCCGGGATGCTGTCATTCCCATCCACTGTGAAGTGGCTGTAAAGCCACCAATGGCATTCTTAGCCTTTGAGCCTCCCTCCAGCCGGACCTCTTCGGCCATCTTGGATTAAGGCAGTAGCCCCGCCTACTTTAGCTTCGCTATGCCCTCAAGCCTGTCACGCGTGCGTGTCCCGCTAGGGTCCTTCGTAATTGGCTGTCACAGAAACCAAGAGTCAGAGATGGCTGATCCCTCCCTGTCTTTCTTTTTCTTTTCCTTCCTTTCTTCTTTTTTCTTCTTCTTTATTATTTTCTTCTTCTTTTTAAATCTTTTTTTTTCTTTCTGGGCTAGGTCTTGCTATGAAGACCTAGCTGGCCTCCAATTTGTTAATCCCCCTGCCTCAGATTTCCAAGTGCTGTGATTACAGACCTGCGCCTCCACTCCCGGTTTCTGAGGCTCTTCTTGACAACACAGTTAAAATGAGACGCCTTTTAGAATATGATTTTCAGTAGAGAGAGGAAGGGAGTCTAATCTTTAACTTTTTTCCGTACCTTTTCTCATTTTTGGAGCCCAAACAGTAGAAACTGAAGTGGCCCCAGCTCTGGGTCTGGTTTTACCCTTGTGTAGGTTTTTAAAAGTTGTTTGTTTATTCTGTACTTTCAGCCTATGCTGGTTAGTGTTTTTCTGTCAACCTGAAACCGGCTTGATTCATCAGGGAAGAGGAAATGTAAACTGATTAATTGCTTCCATTGGACTGGCCTGTAAACCAGTAGGTTGGCATTTTATTGGTTAATGATTGACGTGGAAAGGCCCATCCTACTAAGGGTTTTGCTACCCTAGGGCATCCTGAATGTGAGCCTAAGGAGAAAATCACTATGCAGTCACTCATAGTCTGCTTCAGCGCTGCCCACTTGGTTCCTACCCTGACTTCTTCCTTTCAGTATGAACTATAATTTTTAAAATTAAGAAAATCCAACTAGGATGTATCCCTGGTGCACAAAAGGACTTTGGGAGCACATTCCCCATGAAGGGATACTCCCTTAACCTAGAGGCAGGAGGGAGGGCCTAGTCCCTACTCCAAATGACAGATTTTGTTGATCCCTCCTGGAAGGCATCATTCTCCCTGTGGAGTGGGTGGAGAGGGGAGGGTGGTAGTCGGGCATGGGAGGGAGGGAGAAAGGGAGAGAGAAAGGGAAGGACAGCCAGGAAAGCATAAAGAGACCTGTCTCAATAAACAAAAGAAAGAAATGAGTGGTGGCAGCACACTCCTTTAGTCCCAGCCAGAACTAGCCAATGAAACCCACACTCCTTTAGTCCCAGCCAGAACTAGCCAATGAAACCTTGTCTCAAAACCCAAAACAAAAAGAACTTGGGAAAGGATTTCTTTCTTTTTCTGTTCTTTCTTTTTTCTTTTTTTTTTTTTTTTTCAAGACAGGGTTTCTCCGCATAGCTTTGTAGACCAGGTTGGCCTTAAAATCACAGAGATCTGCTTGCTTCTTCCTCCCAAGTGCTGGCATTAAGGGCGTGTCCAGCACTGCCCATCTGGACAATCATTTCTTTATGGGGAAAACTCAGACTCCCTTCTAGCTTTGGAGAATATACGCATATTATTGCTATATTGTGTATTATTATATCTGTAATATAATAATTCTCCCTGTGTGCAGAATTTCTTCCTCCTGTAACTTACTACCCATTGTAACTTTCTCATCGCTCTCTTCGCAGTCTCCAGTAACCATTATTCTCCTAAATTCCCACTTTCATTCCCTGTACCCACATCAGCCGCCTCATTACCACCTGTAACCCCAGGTGCAAGGAACTGAACACTCTCCTCTAACCTCTGTGACAGCAGCATACGTGAGCTCACGACCAACAATAAGACAACCACAAATACACAAATATCAGCAATCTTTAAAAGAAATTTTAAAAGCTCCTAATTGCTCACCACCCCTTCATACCCACATGTTTCTTTCAACTTTATCAGTGTCTTATTTTTATTTGGTTTGGTTTTGGTTTTTCAAGACAGGGTTTCTCTGATTAGCCCTGGCTGTCCTGGAAATCACTCTGTAGACCAGGTTGGCCTAAAACTCTGAGATCCCCCTGCCTCTGGTCCCAATGCTGGGATTGAAGGGGTGCACCATCACTGCAAGGCAACCTTAATGTGTTAACATACTTTTTGAGATTATAGTATAATCACATCATTTCCTCCCTTCCTCACCCCAGCCCCTCCCATGTGCCTGCCTTATTCTCATAAAAATTCATTAACTCCTTCGTGCGCCTGTGCATAAAACACTGGCTCAATAAAGTACTTATATGTATTTCTCCAGAGCTGATCATTTGGTATTGGATCACCAGTTGGTGTGCTTTCTTGAGGACGACTGAATTGTATGATTTTGAAGGCTTACTCTCACTCTGTAGCCAAGGCTGACCTCAATCTCAAGCCGATCTTATCTCAGCCTGCAGTAAGTGCCTTCCTTCATTGTTGTGCTGTTCACATCAACGTTGTTCAGACTTTACCAGTGAGTTCTAGCCCACAATTACCTCCTACTCCTGAACTCAGGCAGGGTATGGTCAGGCAGGGGTTTGGTCAGGCAGGGTTTGGTCAGGCAGGGGTTTGGTCAGGCAGGGGTTTGGTCAGGCAGGGGTTTGGTCAGGCAGGGTTTGGTCAGGCAGGGGTTTGGTCAGGCAGGGTTTGGTCAGGCAGGGGTTTGGTCAGGCAGGGTTTGGTCAGGCAGGGGTTTGGTCAGGCAGGGTATGGTCAGGCAGGGGTTTGGTCAGGCAGGGTTTGGTCAGGCAGGGTTTGGTCAGGCAGGGGTTTGGTCAGGCAGGGTATGGTCAGGCAGGGGTTTGGTCAGGCAGGAACTATGAGTAGAGCAGAGTGCTTCACAGACAGCCTCACTGGCTTCAGGGCTGGGATGTAGTTTACTTTAATCAATTGGTTCTTTGTAATTGGCAGAGACTCTCATGATGACTCAGCCTGTTGTGTCTAGGAGGGACATGGTTTGTCACACAGAGACTCAAGCAGGAGGGGTCCTCATGCCCACCTGAACTGAATGATGTTTTGTTTGTGTGTGATTTCTGTCTTTCATGTGCCACTAAGGCCAGAATGGTACCCGATTTGCTCATTGATATGTACTCACAATGCTGACCACATTATAGTGGATCCTTGTGGCTTGGTGAATAGATTTCCAGGATGGGAGAGCCCCTGGCATGCAAAGCAGCACTGTGTCAAAAGGCTTTGGGATACCAACTCCATGTGGGACACTAGAAAATTACCTGTGGAGGACAGTCGTCAAAGCTGGAGACAATGCACACCCAGAACAATGTCTCCACTAGTTAACCAAGGCCAGCTGTCGGTTCATCTATGTGTCCCGAAGCAACAGGACTTTCAGGGAAGACCCAAGAGACTAGTGGGTGGGCTCCAGGATCAGCTGCAAAGGAGCTGGGAGCAAAACATAACATTCCTAAGGTCCTTTTCATTTTATTCTGTTTGGGCTCTGGTACAGAAGTGTGTTTAGAAAGCTCTTCTTATTCTAGCATAGATGGGGAGGTACTGTCTCAGAGGAGCTATTGGCAATCGATAGCCGCTGGAGGGAGAAGAATTATATCCAACCCCCCCCCTCTCCTTTTTAAAACAGCACTTGGGAGGCAGAGGCAGGCAAATCTCTGAGTTCGAGGGCAGGCTGCTCTACAGAGCTAGTTCCAAGACAGGCTCCAGAGCTACACAGAGAAACTCTGTCTTGAAATGCCAATTTTTTCCCCTCAAGAATAAAGAAAAATTAACAAGGAAGAAATCTGGCTCTGTGGTTGGTTTGAACACATTTCTAAAAACAAAACAAAACAAACAACAACAACAACAAAACCCAACTCCAAATCACCAATATTATGTTGGCATCACCTTAAGAAAATTAAGTACTTCTGTGATGGCTAAAGAAATTCCATTTTGCCAGGCAGTGATGGCACAGGCCTTTAATCCCAGCAGAGGCAGGCAGATCTCTGAATTCAAGGCTAGCCTGGTCTACAGAATGAGTTCCAGGACAGCAGGGATACACAGAGAAACCCTGTTTCAAACACTACCCCCAAAAAGGAACTCCATTTTATGCTAGGCATCCATCTTAGCACCCCCTAGCCATTTATCTCTGACTCTAATCTCTAGAAGATAAGCTTCCAGTAACCCTGACTCAGTGACCCCACCCCAAAAAATGTACAGCCCTGACTATCTCTGTGTTGTGATACAACTGACTGCCTTCTAGTTCCTGTAATTTGCTTATGCAGAAACCCAAAGATTGTTTTGAGTCACCTTAACCACCTAACTTAGCAGAACAGACCAGGTTTTGCTTGCTTTCATAGAAACTGAAGGTCTTCTTGTGGTTTTCCCCTTTTAAAATTCTCCTTTTAACCTCCTCGTGGCAATCTTAAATTTGGCTCAGAGACTGTTGATCCTTCAACAGCTAATCCATAATATTTTAATTATGATTGGGTTGATTTTAATTATGATTATAATTATGGCCATAGACTTTGTGGTCTTTTCCCTAACACTTCCCCTTGCTGTCATCTAATGGAGAGCAGGCCCAGCTTCGTATTCCCCACATTTTCCTCACCATGTCTTTTGTCTTTTTTCTGTCTGTTGTCAGTCTGTATCTGGGCCTGCCTGAGGGCTGTCTTATGAATCTGTCTCCATATCTGTGTGTGAGTCTGGCGAAGGGCTCTGCTGTGTCTTTGTTGAACAGCACAGAAAGCATCACACAGGAAAGGAACATGATACTTTACAGAAACCTTTAACAGTTTTATAAAAGATTAAGTCACAGACTCCAACGGACCCAGATGACGAGTACCACAAACACCAAAATCCAAATATTGTGGGCAAAAATTATGATGGATACTCATTTTATAAGGTTGCTTTCAAACTCTACTTTTGCCGTATTCAGCAAATGATTATTAGAACACACACACATTACTCTGAATCAGGAGCACGGAAGAGCACATAATTTAAGATTACAGCTACACATTAGCTCAGGGTGTAAATA